AAGGTTTTTTTTTTCCCAAGTTCAAGTATACACTTAAGTGGTGGTAAGCTTTACATAAACTTTCTTTGGAAGGAATGTAATATATAATAAAGATTTATTCACTGGCTCGTAGAACTAAAAGAACAGCAACACAAATATTCAATCCAAAATTCAGAGGACTGTTTTCAAAATTAATCAAAGAAACTTAAATTGAAGAGCTGCATGCATATCAGTGGGCGATTTTCTAATCCAAGAGAAATGGTTGCTTCTCATGAAGTCATGTTCTCAGTATCAGCTACTGGCACCAGTTCCTCATTTTCAGAATCCACTAATCCAAACAGACATCCTGATAAACAGATTAAAATGATGTCTCATTGCCTTTCTTCCAATGTTGCACCCATCAGTTTAAAAACTGCAAAACTAAGTGTAAGTCTGGCTTCCTGGAATCTCACTTGTTTAATCTTCAAAATGCTTAGCACCTATTTCCAGTTAAATCCATTTCTTTGCAGAATAGAATACCCTCAAAAAAACCTCTAGTTAAACCTTGCTGGAAAGATTACCACAATTACTTTGGTTTTTACCATGTGATTCAAATATATTGCACATGAATGCAAAGTTTATAAAGCTGGAGATAAACACCATGGTGATAATGGACAAACATTAATGGATAATGTTTTTGTATAGAAACTGAGTCACATTGCAATTAAATCTCTTTTCACTCAAAATTCTGAAATCCAGATTGATCTCTCAGCTTCAAGTACAATCACTGATCAAATTATTACCTATGTTTCGTCTCGAGGTTACAAACTCATGGATATTTATCCTCTGCCTATTCTTAGTATGATCCTGATGACTAGTAGCTTCAGGAGAGATTGTCAAATTAAATATTTGTCCTGTTTTGAGCCATAGTCTCTTATGCAAGGTTTAGACCTTAATTGTGGAAAGTTTAAAGAACAGTTGACTGTTCCAGGACCCTATAAAATGAAACACAGAGATCACAAGGCCCAATGCCTTCAGATGTAGCAGCAGGATTGCTTTTTGTGAGGAAAGCAGCAACCCAGGTTGTGCTGTGTTTTCCTTGATCTGCTAATGGCAGTCAATTATGCAGAAGTGAAGAGGGAGAGGAAATAACACACTGGGGTGACATCATGACATTGATAAATGTTGCCACATACTGCAAGAGCAAAAATAGACACATAAGTCACATAATAATTATATTTTATCTGTAATCATGTGTCACACTCAGTTTGGACAAAGGAAGCTGGGTGCTGAGATCGTACTGAATTCATTCTGAAGATAGAGTAACAGAATAGCAGTTGTGAGGGACCTTGGAGGTCTTCTAGTCACTTAGGGAAGAAAAACCAAAAGTACATATACTGTATAAACTGGTTGAAACCAGGCTTAATAGCAGTAACTATGAGAGGGATCTTTGAGTCTTAGTGGACAACCAGCTAAATATGAGCCAGCAGTGTGCAGCGGCAGCTAAAAAAGCCAATGCAAACCTAAGCTGCATTAACAGAGGGATACAATCACAATCAAGTGAGGTACTAATACCACTCTATAAAGCCTTAGTAAGACCACACCTAGAGTACTGCATCCAGTTTTGGTCACCAGACTATAAAAAAGTTGTTGAGATTCTAGAAAGAGTACAGAGAAGAGCAACCAAGATGATTAGGGGACTGGAGGCTAAAACATACGATGAATGGTTGCAGGAACTGGGCATGGCTAGTCTAGTGAAGAAAAGGACCAGGGGAGATATGATAGCAGTGTTCCAATATTTGAAAGGCTGCCACAGAGAGGAGGGGGTTAAGCTATTTTCCAAGGCACCTGAAAGCCAGACAAGGAATAATGGATGGAAACTGACCAAGGAGAAATTCAACCTAGAAATGAGGAAGAACTTTCTGACAGTGAGAACAATCAACCAATGGAACAGCTTGCATTCGGAGGTTGTGGGAGCTTCATCACTGGAGGCTTTCAGGAAGAGATTTGACTGCCATTTGTCAGAAATGGTGTAGGGTCTCCTGCTTGGACAGGTGGGGTGGGTGGACTAGATGACCTACAAGGTCCCTTCCAACTCTGTTAATTTAATCTAATCTAGCCCAACCCCCTGCACAAGCAGGAGACCCTCTTGTCACTGCTGCACTACAAGCAGATTGATTCCCTAGGATGGGGGGCAGTTTAATTCCCCCCCATATTCCATTTCCACTGTCATTTCTCAACTGTTTGTGACACCCTTCTCTTTGATGGGAAACACAGAAGGAGCTTCACTGACTAAATAAGACAAGTGAGAGAAATGCATGTGGAAGACAGAGATTTCAAACAGTGGGAGAAGAAAATAATACATTTTAAAGATTCATTTTCCCTTTCTCAAACAGAAAACAAAGCAGAGTATATATTGCAATTGGTCTGAATGGGACAGGCTGAATAATTTTGGTTTAAATTCTATTGGTCTTTCCAGTCAGTGGGCTGGATTCTAAGTTGTGCTGCTAAAATCAGTGAGATCTGTTAAGAGTCAGTCCTGTTGATTTCAAGTGGACAAATCTATGTTATTTCAAGGTCTTATCTATCCTAAACACTGTCAAGTCAGTTTTCAACCCCTGACTTTAGAAAGCAAACAGTAGCCTATTAAGCTGCTCAGCAGTACTGAAGCTCTTAGTGGAGCTTCTATAACAAGGGGCAATCCACATCCAAGGAGCCATGGATTCCATGCAAAAAATGACAAATAGGCAGCTTTAGTGATAGATTTGGTAGCTTCCTAGAGACCTTTGTGTAGCATGGGTGTAGGTCACAAAGGTGGAGGAGCAGGTACCCTTTGATAGGAGGAGAAGGGAGACAGGTCGTCTCCTTGGGGATTCTAATGTCTTTATGACTTCATCCCTGCAGGCTAAAGTATCAGTTACTGCCAGTTATCAGCAATCAGAGCGAAGATGCCTTCCTAGATTCCTTTCAGTGAGGCTCCTGGACTCTGGGGAAACTTCTCTCTTTTTGTAACCCATTCTTAGAGGGGTGAATGAGGGTGAGAGTTTGGGTCAGGTTTAGGGTGGCAGTGAGGGTGAGAGGGTTAGGGGGAGGGGCAGGGATAGCCTGAGAGAGGAAGGGTAGGTTGGGAGTCAGGGTCAGGATCAGGGAGGATAATGGGTATGGGAGATGGGAGGAAGAAAAGGTAAAAAGGGGAGGGGCAGGGAAAGGGAAAGGGAAAGGGGAAAGAAAGGTATGGAAGAGGAAGGAAACAAAAAGGTGCAGTAGTATGGATAGGAGAGGATAGGGAGAGAGGAGACGGGGAGGGGGAGGGGACAGATAAGGAGGGAAGAGAGGAGAGGAGGATAGAAAGAGGAGGGGCATGAAGTGGAGTGGAGTGGGCCTGGTAGGAGAGGGGAGGGAAGGAGGACAGGACAGGCAGAGAAGTGAAGGTAGGTACAAATAGGGAGGGGGGAATTCTAATACTGTTATTACTTCACTCAGGCTAGTTATTATCAGAGGTAAGGGAGAGGGACGGAGAGACAAGTGGAAGGGGGGGTAGGTAAGAGGAAGGGTGGGGGACAAAGAGGTAGACTAGACTGGGGCAGAGTAGCAAGGGGAGGGGAGAGGGAGGGGACAGGAGGAGATGTGTAGGTGGGGACAGGAAGAGGGGAATTCTAATGTCTTTAAGACTTTATCCATGCAGGTTATTATCAGAGGCAAGTGAGAGGGAGGGAGAGGAAGGGTGAAGGGAATAGTGAGGAGAGGGGAAAGGGCAAGAAGGGCAGGAGGAAGAAGGAGGAATGGGGACAAAGAGGTACCGTAAGCCAGGGAAAGGAGGGGAGGGGAGGGGGAGAGGGGGGAGGGTGACACACAGGAGGACACACTTTGTGGTCCTAGGGTACATGGGATTCCCCAAAGCCATAGATGCAGTCACCAGAACCTTTCCAAATTTTCCTGTTGAACTCCTAACATGACAGAAGGCAAGATGCATATTTTACAGAAGAAAAGACTCTGAGAAGTTTCAAGTATCTAAAAGGCTATAATATGCAAGAGGGGGCAGTCACCTTCTTGAGGGCAGGATATCAACTGGAAAGTTATTATGAAAAGGAAGATGGCTCAGGATAAACATTAGGAGGAATTCAGAACTGTCAAGCAGAGGAACAAACTGCTTTGAAGACTGGTGGACTTGCCCTCATTGGCGGTTTCAAATGGAGGAGACCGGATGGCAAACTGATGACTGTTTAAAGAATTTTTGCAATGAACATAAAAGGATGTATTGCACTGAGTTTATAGTCCCCTCCAAGTCATACACTATTATTCTCTGATTCATCACATTATCCATTTAAGTTGAATTCAGTTTAAATTTACAATTCATTGTTGTTCCAGATCATCCCATATTTTGGATGTAGCCTTTAATATGCCATCCAAAAGCCAAATGCAACCTTCATTCTCTCCAGAAGGAGCATATAGCCTCACTTTGGCTAGAAAGTGGCTAGCTTGTATGAATGCTTCTATAATTGCATATGACTTGCTCAGGCTTTACAAAAGCCAATAAATATTGTGAAGACACAATGTTTCTTCTGTCAAAGGAAACTGGCATTATAAAATCTATCTTGTATTATGGTGCATGTTAGGTTTATTTTGAAAACTATGCTTTGGATCCAACATACTTAAGTCAGGTAGAAAATACCAGGACACGGTTTTTATTAACAAAAACATTCAATTTCAGTCTATTAAATGGCCAATTCTGTTAGGAGTTAAGCTTTGTTAGAAATCATATATACTATTTATTTATTGAATGACAACTTATACTGTAAATGTGACTGAATATATGGACATGCAGAATAGTTAATCCAACTTGTAGTTGTTCAAGTGTGTATTGTTATGTCTTTTCTAATAAAAATATCAATATAAATTATTGATTATATTATTTTCAAACTGCAAAGAACTTTTTTTTTGTAAGATGGGTTCTCAGCCACAAATACAAATTAGTTCTCACATAGCATGTATCTATAGAACATGAATTCATTCATACATGATTGATAGAGGAACGGTATTTATATAGCATGAAGTGTATTTGTCTATGCACGACTTTCCCGAGTCTCAATTTTGTTCTTTTAAGAAATGGAAAGTGAACATTATCAGCACTACTCAGCTGAACACTTACGACTTTCTTTGTCCATCCAAGTCACTTACTACATGTACACTACTTTATAGTATCTGTTGTGCCCCTCTCCTCATTGTTCATATCATTTCTTCCTAAGTGTGCTGCCTTCCCACCAACTAAGTAAACTAGAGCAGGCCAAAGAATGTATTTATTTATTTAGCATATGGCCATACCAGAGAAGTATGTTTGTGATGAAATCTCCAGTAGAGAAAGGAGGGGGGAGGGTGAAGCTTACTCAACTGAGGAAAACTTTGAAAATCTTGATTGTTTTGAAAGAAATGACAGAATGCGTGACATCAAGTGTTCTGTTTGCCTAAAGGAGGTGGTATTATGGACCAAAGATATCTTGGGAAAATATTTGGATTATTTTAAAAAGTATGTAAACAAATATCTCTGGAGCACTCAGCTTAAAGGTATTGAAACAGCAAAGATAAATCAGCCACTAAAGTCCAATATGGCACAAATTTGTGTTATCTTTTTTATCCCAGCCTGGTCTCCTTGCAGTATGGAGGCCTTCCCTTCATAGGTCCATCTCAAAGTCCATGTTGCTGCTGGAAAGAAATTAGCTGCACATATTATTTGGTTATTCTCATTTTTAATGTCCCATTTCTGTTAAATTTACAAGTAACAATACAAAGTTATGCTAAACTGCTCCTTCACTCTCACCTCTGAGGTGAACGAAATAGTGAGGAACTGTGTCTCCCTTTCAGTATGGTTTAGTCCAAAAATAATTGAGTTCTGGATGAGTCCTGCTGAAAAACCCTCCCCAATAAAATCAGCTTCAAGGCCCTTCGAAACCATAAATAAAAGTATGCATAAACAATTGGGTTAAGTGTTGAATTCAAATAACCAAACCAAACCATTGCATCAATAAGGATGGGTGGGATTGTATAATTCATAAATGGGCTCAAGATGGTGCAGAAGAAGAACGGGGACCAGCATATGAGGAAAACCCCAACCACTATACCTAATGTTTTTGCAGCTTTTCGTTCTCTGTTGTGGGAGATATGATGCTGTAGTTCAAACCTAATCTGTATTTGGCTCATAGCAGCTGTAATGGATCTGGCTTGCCTTTGGGCTATTATGTATATCTTCCCATAGACAACTAGCATGACAAACCCAGGGATGTAGAAGGAAAACATGGAGGCCACCACACCCGAAGTTTCATTGAAAAAGACAAAGCATCCTCCCACACAATAAATAAATTCGTGGAATGTTTCTTCTGCTCCCAATACGTTGAGTTGCAAAAAGACCAGTCCAAAAGCAAACAAGGCAGGAAATATCCAACTGATAAAAATCATGATTAATATGACAGAAGTGTTTATCTTAGTTTTATATCGCAGCGGGTCACAGACTGCATAGTAACGGTCAATTGAGATAAAGGAAAGATGGAAAATGGAAGCAGTGCTCAGCATGATATCCATACTGGTGTGGATTTTGCAGAAGAACTCTCCAAAATACCAGCAGTTCTCAACAGATCTTATCATGCTGTAAGGCATGACACAGAAGCCGAGAAGGAAATCCACCGTGGCCATTGAGAGTATAAGGAAATTTGTAGGCGTGCGGAGCTGCTTGAAATGTGATACGGAGATGATAACAGCCAGATTGCCAGCCACAGTAGCCAGGATCAAACACAGCATGAAGAGGTACATGGAAAATCGGATGCTCATTGACCAGCTGTTCTTTATGCAGGAGCCATTGATGGATTCACAGCACAACTGCATCCTTTCAAAAGGTTCGGATATATGCAAGCCCATCTCAGGCGCAGTCCTATGGATATCACATGTGATATCTTCCTTTAGTTGCAAGAACCAGGAATTCTTTAGTCTTGTGTCTTCCTGCACAGGAGTATCATCTGTCAAGAAGGATAGATAGGAAGCACAATATATGTTTAGAGTTGAGATAAAATTCTTCTCCCACAACTTCAAAGCACATTAATCCTTATCCTATGGTGTATGTATCTCATCTGTGTGTGTGTCTGTTCAGGAAATTGTATACATGTAGAAAAGGGCTAGTCCTTAGGCTCCCTAAGTGGCTCCCTAGGTGGCTCAGTGGCTAAGACACTGAGCTTGTCAATCAGAAAAGGTCGGCGGTTCGAATCCCAAATATAGGTTGTCTGCGTGAGCAGGGGGTTGGACTAGATGGCCTCCAAGGTCCCTTCCAACTATGTTACTGTTACTACTTAGTCCCTTCTCCAGTAATAACAGGGCATTTACTTATTTCCATAACTTCTTCTGTCACTCTAATCTTTTGGCTCACAAGACAGCAAATTAAGGGCATGATTGGGCTTCAGGGATTATCAGAATGCCAAGTCAGAGAGAGAAAGGGAACAGGAAGTCCTGCTATGGATAGGTAAGGCATGATGTAAAAAAAAGCGGGGGGAGTCTAATGATCATTTACTTGTGACCATGACTTCACTGTAAAGAGGAGAAGCATTGTATTACACCACTGGCCAGTATTTATTGTACATTGTTTCAACTTTTTCATAAATAAAGGTAAAGGTAAAGGTTCCCCTCGCACATATGTGCTAGTCGTTCTCGACTCTAGGGGGTGGTGCTCATCTCCATTTCAAAGCCGAAGAGCCAGCACTGTCCAAAGATGTCTCCGTGGTCATGTGGCTGGCATGACTCAATGCCAAAGGCACATGGAACGCTGTTACCTTCCCACCAAAGGTGGTCCCTATTTTTCTACTTGCATTTTTAACGTGCTTTCGAACTGCTAGGTTGGCAGAAGCTGGGACAAGTAACGGGAGCTCACCCTGTTACGCGGCACTAGGGATTCGAACCACTGAACTGCCGACCTTTCGATCGACAAGCTCAGCATCTTAGCCACTGAGCCACTGCGTCCCCCCCTTTTTTTCATCAATATTGTAGAACTAATCAGGCTTATTCAGCTATGCTACTCCAAAACCTGCGTACTGACCTTCAGTGCTGCATAGCAATCCGCTAGGGGAACCAGCATCCTCTGTTGTGTATTTGCCAGCCCAATGGATTTAAGCAATTTCATATGCTGGACATCTTTGCTCGATCACAGTCAATGATTTATGGCCTGGTTCTGTATAACTAACAGACAAAACGGTAAAATAAGGAGTCTTGAGACAATTGCAGTTTTATGAATCCCATCTTTCTTTCCCCTGGAAGCAATACATTTTTATACTGTTATTGCCTATTATCTGAAGGAAAGCTATTCCATTGGCTGATTGCTCTCACTGTCAGAAAATTTTCCTTATTTTCAAGTTGAATCTCTCCTTGTTCAGTTTCCATCCATTATTCCTTGTTTGGCCTTCAGGTGCTTTGGAAAACAGGTTGACCCCCTCATCTCTGTGACAGCCCCTCAAATACTGGAACACTGCTATCATGTCTCCCCTGGTCCTTCTCTTCACTAGACTAGCCAGGCCCAGTTCCTGCAACCATTCATCGTATGTTTTAGCCTCCAGTCCCCTAATCATCTTGGTTGCTCTTCTCTGTACTCTTTCTAGAATCTTAACAACTTTTTTATTGTGTAGTGACCAAAGCTGGATGTAGTATTCTAGGTGTAGTCTAAGGCTTTTATTCAGTTTATATCACTGAGTTCATTGCTGTAATACTTCCCTTCACTATTTTTGCTCAGTGTGTTGTGTACAGCTAGCCTTTTTTATTTATTCAGGTTGTTGTGTTGAAATAAACCACAGCTTAGTAAAGTCTGTAAAATTAACCCTAAGAATGACATACCTTCCCCTGTGAATGATAATAATGCCAAAATATTCTGATACACTGTAAGGAGCCCTGTTTATTTAACATCCAAGGATTTCATCAGACCTGGATACGATGTAGCTAGCCTTTATTAATTTATTAATCGATTAGTCTTATGACCCTTTCATGTAGCTAGCCGTGTTCTAGGAGAGTGTTGGCGAACTTTTTCGGCACCGAGTGCCGAAACAAAAGTGTGCGCAAGGGGGGGGGGGAGCACTGGAAACTGGAAGAACAATTCCCCGGAGTGCGTGTGCATGCCTGGAAGCTGAGCTTCCAGTTTCCAGCATGTGCATGTGCACTGGTCACCTGGTCTTCCAGTTTCTGGTACACAAGCACGAGTAAAGATCAGCTGGCCGGTGCACATGCACATGCCGGAAACCAGAAGCTCAGCTTCCCGTTGTGCATATGTGTACCAGGGAGCTGCTGTTCCTGTTTCCGGCGCTCCCGCACACATGAAGACTTGCACCAGAACCCGGAAGAGCAACGGGCGACGGCTGGCATGCCTGGAGAGATGGCCAGATTTCCATATCTGGGTTGAGAAATCTGGATGACCTCTAGATGATGTCAAAGAGATGCAATACACTATAACACTATTATCCAACTTAATATAGAGCCATTATTGTTGCCACTTCGAGTGTAGTCTATGCTAGTTTATGAGCATAATGAATATTTTTTTTAATTTATTTTAATCGTTATAAACTTGTTTAATTGATTAATCACTATTCAATCAAATTCCTAGTCAGGAATGCCCATAAGCATACACAGAATCCTTTAAACTCCAAGAATATGAGAGTTGATCTGAGTCCCATGTAATAATTATTCTAGGAAATAGCACAAACTCCTGGGACACAAATAATGTAGAGAGGGAATATTATTTTGCTGGTAGAGAATTCTTTCTGCAACCCTGGCCCTGGAACTACAACATACTGTCCCCTCCATGGAAGCACAGTGTGGGCAACATCGAGAGCTTTTGTCTAAATAGCAGGATGCCTTTGTAAAGTAGATGAGAGCAGCAGAAAAGTCAGTGTTTTTCAGCAAATGGGATTGCCTGGATTAAGGAGCTGGGATGGCCCAGTGGTTAGAATATAGTGTTGCAGGCTAATTCTGCCAACTGCTAGAGTTCGATTGTCACCGGCTCAAGGTTGACTCAGCTTTCCATCTTTCCAAAGTTGATAAAATGAGGAGCCAGATTGTTGGGGGCCCTATGCTGACTCTGTAAACTGCTTAGAGAGGGCTGTAAAGCACTATGAAGTGGTGTATAAGTCTAAGTGTTATTGCTGTGTTGCAATAAAAGAAGTAAAATAAAAGGCAAAAATTGCAGAATACATTTTGCGAAGTAAAGGGGAGAGATATGAGGTGAAGGAAAGATGGATTGGAACAGGGAAAAAGAGAAAGGAAGAGGATAATTGGTATATTTATTATGATTTTCTTTTTATTTATGGTTGGCCAGAAGGACATCAGTCAAGATCCGCATTGGAAACTTAATTCAAAGCAAGAATGAATGGTACTTAGGTCACCATGACTAGGCAGTATTGTAATGGATTCAAAATTAAGAATGCAAATCATATCAAATACTAGCTGAGGCTAGAATAAACATTTTTTGCTCAATCTCGGCTCATATCCCTTCTTGCCCCACAGCATTTGCCCAGTAATGGATGATTGTGCTTTATATTGCTATATGTTCTAGAAAAATCCTCAATATTCAAAGTCTGGACAGCAGGAATTACACAGTATCATCAGTCTTTTTTTGTTAGAATAGAATAGGCTGCTTGCTTGGAACTCTCCAAGGTGCTGCTATCAGAATATTAGAATAACAGAGTTGGAAGGGATCTTAGAGGTCTTCTAGTCCAACCCCCTGCTCAAGCAGAAGACCCTATACCATTTCAGACAAGTGGCTGTCCAATCTCTTTTTAAAAACCTCCAGTGTTGGAGCACCCACAACTTCTGGGGGGCAAGTCGTTCCACTGATTGATTGTTCTCTCAGGAAATTTCTTCTTTGTTCCTATCCTTTCATGATCCCAGGGATATGGTAATTGAGGCTTTTGATTTAGCCTAAGATAAGAGTAAAGGAGTTATCTTGGCTAAAGCAATACAAGATGGTGACTTACTCTATAAATTCACCCAATTCTGGCTTGCCAGACCTAAACCAGTCAATTGTTAGAGAAGACTGAGATATAAGTTGATTTTGAAGGGGCAAAATGGAGATGAACTGGTGTTCTTTGGTAATCTAATGAAGATTATTGCTAAGCAAATGACGGACAGAGCTGATAACTGAACGTTTCATTTTATGCAAGTAGAAGCAACCTTCACTAACATAATTAACAAAAGTAAAAGCTTGTATTTTTTTTAGCAGAAGCGAAGGCTAGGAAGAGAGTCAGTTTGGTCTCGCACAGGGGTGTCAAACTCAAGGCCTGGGGGCTGGATCTGACCCCCGGGGTGCTTAGATCCGGCCCGTGGCACTCCCAAGCTCTGTTTTCACTGGCAGAGGATTGCAGGAGGCCGTCACAGCCGAAAATGGAGCTCGGGAGCCTGTTTTCTCTGGCAGAGCACTCAGGCTACCACAGGAGCCACCCAACACGAGTGATGTCAAGCTTGCCATACCCACCATGGCCACGCCCACCCCAGCCCCCAAGGTCAAACACCACCCTGATGCGGCCTTCAATGAAATTGAGTTTGACATCCCTGATCTAGCGCTTAAGGCATCAGGCTAGAAACTGGGAAACAGGAATTCTAGTCCTATTTTAGGCATAAAGCAATCTAGGTGAGCATTGAGCCAGTTCGCTCTCTCTCTCTTAGCTCCAGGAAGGAGACAATGGCAAATCATTTCTAAACAACCTTGCCAAGGAAACTGCAGGAAGTTCTCCAGACAGTTGCCAGGAGTGAAAGCTGACTTGGAGTCACACACAGACGGAAGTTAGGGAACATGGAATACCATGCCATGCTATGGAATTCTAACACTGGAGCTATCTTCTCAGTTTAGATGCCTTTTATTTTTATTACAGTGGGTGTGCTGAGCTTGACAGTGGGTATCCTGAGTTTGATAGCTTGATTGTCTTGACCATGATAAGGTATTTTGTGAATAGGCAGGAGCATCCTTCCAGGATCCCTACATGTTGCTATCTGC